AAAACCTTACAATTAAATCCGAGAAAGTTCATTGTGTTGTATCATTACTTTTTCTATTATTTGTATTTTGATTTACATTAGTTATTTCACTTGACTACTTCATTTTACTTTATATCAACTGCATTTTATTTTAAATCAAGTTAATTGCTCAATGTTTATTATTTTTGTTAGATTTAATTTAATTACACATTTGGTTATAATTTTGCCTAATTTATACTAAATGTCAGTGCTTTAATTATATTTTCTGCTTGCGGTCGTGGCATCCCCTTACACCAAATATAACCCTTACCCCCATCCACCCACCACCGCTGTGTAAGCCGCTTATAGAATGGAACGCTAGGAAGAGTGAACCTAAAGAGCTTAACAAAAAAGGTAGAATTGCGCATTAAGATTTAAAATGATTAACATTTTTAAAAATACACTAGTAAAAAACAAAACGTGGTAGATACTGTGCGTCGTTAGCTTCAGTAATTATCTTTGTCTTAATTCTGTGGATTCCCAAGAGCTGAGGACAAAACTATCATAACGTATGCTTATCATAACGTATCTTTCCCGAATATTTCATTCTGTACATTATTTTCAAGCACTATTATATGTGAATGAAAAAAGGGCCGAACCTTTCCGAAAGTCTACGGCCAAAGTTCATTCTAACCTATTTATTGCTTGGCTTTGCTGCGAGGATATAGGACACGGCGTGAGGCTGAACAAATACAAAACTTCGTATAGCTGAGTATTGTGAAATTATGTGTGTTTAAATTTGAATATACTTTAAATATGTTGGCGTAAGATTTAATTAAAAATTATGGTTATCGAAGGGACATCTTGCTTTAAAACCAATACACTTCCCTTAAAATACAAAATAAATATTTCTCGATTACATGTCAACATTATTGGAAGATTCTGTCTATACCTATACTGTATGTTCAAGTATAAATATCAAAGATTTATAGATTGGACGAAAAAGAACATTGAAAAAAAGTTTCAACAAAATTGAAAATCTTGAAAAATTACAATTTTATAGCGAAGTAAAAGCAAGTATTAAAATATGAGGCGAAAACCTGTTTACACATTTAGAAACCCCAGAGCCCGCGCATCTATCCGATTGCACGTGAAAAGATCCACTGAAGCACAGTTGCGATGGTTTAAGTATGGACGCCTTGACCAACTGAACTGAGAACTGGAAAATGAAATAACATAAGTCTAAGGAAGTGTGGTTGTTTCATTTGAATGTTTTGAGTGCAGATATATGCATTTATAGCATTCGACTAATCGACATGATCACCATATTAAAAATGTACATTAGATCAAAAACAAAAACTTTTTTTGCTTAACGGCCATAACGACTTTTGGTCAGTATGATCTAAGGAACAACAAACTAAATTTCATACTATTTGACCAATATCTCAGTTCCAGAAGATTTGTGCGGGGTTTTTTGTTGACGTTGATATTAAACAAGAAAATTGCGGGTATCATATTGAATACAAATTTTAATCTAGTGAAAATGCGTGCCATGTGGAACTTTTCCTCCTGTTAATGTAATATTTTTTTTAAAAGGTTGATCTATTTTAAAGATATACAATTGGACGAAGTTAAGGAGAGATCATCCAAGTCACAAGAATAAAATGATTAAAAAAGGATTGGATGGTTGGCACTTACAATAATCTAATTTTAATAATGAAATTCTTGCACATAAATAAATTTACTTTGTATCCAAAATATTTACATTTTAAGCCGTAATTATGCTTCTAAAACATACGACTCATTCGCTAATCAGCTGAAACCCACTAATTCCTGATTTTTTGTAAAACTGGTTTATGTTGTGCAACAATATTGCTTTTGAGACTGTGGTTCTAGTGACTTACACATTTGCTAAGCACAATTTTAGATGAAGATTCTTGTTACAAAATAAAAATAGAACTTGATACGAGTGTATCAACTCGTAAGGGAGCGAACATTTCAGTAATGTAATGGGTTTATAAGGAGGCAGATATGTTTTGGGAGACGATTGATGATTAAGTCGGGATATTCAAAGTGAAATACTTGTTTAAAATACCCAATAGGACGTGTCAAGTGATTACAAGATTGGCGAATCCTTGGGGGAATATATTAGATATAATTTATCGGCGGTTCAAGAATACAGAACACGATATTTGCGAACGCGGAATAGATAACAGTTTGCCGTTGATTAGCCATCCAGAACTTTCGAATAATATAATTTCTTTTGTTGAAACTTGAAGTGTTTTATTTCACAATCCTCAGGAGTGAGTAGAACGGACAGTAGTGTTGGGTAAATGGAAAGCAGCGGCAGCTAAAATTATATTGGAAATACGCACGATCGCGGCTCCTAAGGGAGAATGAACTTTTCCGAGCCATACGTCACTAGATACGTAACAATTCGAACCGACGCCCGACATGAGTACACCCTTTCCGATACGGCAGGTAAAAAAATCGTGGGCGAGTCTGGAGGTCGATTCGAAGCGGCGAGGGAAGGGGGAACGTGCCAATGCGAGAGAGTGAGCCGTGCCACGGCGACGGGCATGCGTGGGATGTGAGGGGGGGCGTGGCCGCCCTCGCTCGCACAGATGGAGTCGCTTTGTATGCAGTATTGACGGGGCGGTGGCGGGCCCGAAACAGCCAGGGAGATGGCGTCAACGCAAAGACAAATCACTCAGCTGTAAACCGCTGCCTTCGCCGTTCTTCCCTCCTTCCCGACGTTCATTGCCTTTACCGCCTCGCACGCTTCATCACAAACGCCTTCCCAGCCCCCGCTGCGGGCGCCGCCTCGTGATCGGGTGCGGAACCTCCCGGCGGGCGGCGTTACGCCCAGCACTAGTGTCTCTATTCCTTCCCGAGTCGCACGCACTCTGCATGCAAATAGCAAGCATTTTGGATGGCTGATCTTACACGAAGGGGAGGACTTGGTCGGTTGGCAATTCGGCTGGATAGCCTAACTAGACGCAATTCTTACCTACACATTTTAAAATGATCGACAGAACTCGTGTAGTTATATTTAAAAAAGATACAAGTACACTTGTGAGAAAGAATAATTGCCTAAATTATGAGACCGTAGATAAGGAATGTGATTACTTTTTATCACACCTCTCCAAAAAATGTCATTTTTAAACTAAAAAACATATTTCATTCCCACAAAAAAATAAACGTTATAAATAAAAGATACTTCAATTTTGATTTTTCACAGGATATGTCGTGTTTTAAAATATAAAAATTATATAAACCCTAGCGATACCCTAATTAAAGAATAACATTACATCATAGTAGAGAAAATTGTACTTTTACAAACGAAGATTTATTTTATCGTCTCTTTTAACAGTTATAAATGTCTTTGATACCCTAATTAAAGACTAATATTACATCACAGTAGAGAATATATGAATTTCTGTTCATGGCTTACAGCGAAAGTGAAAAGGGACGCCTGGAATAGAATATTCAAATATAAACTCTGAGAACTTGTAGATGCTCAGGATCTTTGATATGTCATTTCGAAGAAAGAGGGAGACCTAAAGTGGCTCCTCGAGCACGACTTCCAGGAAAAATTAATTTCTCTGCTCTCATTCCGCGAACCTGCAAATTCGACGCAAGGAGTGCCGTGACGAATTTCGCTGGGGGAAGGTCTAATTAATGAAGGCACAATTTCAATCAACTTTTAGATTACTATACGAAAATACCTACGTACTATCCATTTGGATAATTAATTAGATCGCTGGTGAGGTAGATACTTTTTTATTATGACAAATAAATAAAGATGTTGTCTGGTATCAATACTTTTTATTCAGCTTATGAACGTTTCGATTGCACAGCGATCATCCTCAGAGCTTGCAGCTTCTGGGCCGAAAACAAAGTTCTGCCCAAAACTTTGTTTTCTCGAACCCTCGAACTTTGTTTTTGGACCAGAAGCTGCAAGCTCTGAGGATGATCGCTATGCAATCGAAACGATCATAAACTGAATAAAAAGTATTGATACCCGACAACATCTTTATTTCTTTGCCATTGGGTTAAAGTACATACGACAGTTATCATATCTCTCAGAATTTCATTACAGCCGTATTTAAAACTTACGTAATACTCTCTATATAATTTGTTCTCACGCGATCGTATCTAGATGTATTGGAGCTTGAATCAGTCTCATGTTTTGGCTTCCAATAATTTCGCATTTTCGTTAAAAAGGTATGCAAATTATAAAGAACAGACTCAATTAAGTTATAACATGTACTTAATCGCTACGGAGTAGAGAGAAAGTTATGTAATGCTGCTCGAGAAATCAGCGAACCTTTGGCAGAGAAACACTTATTACAGGGCCATGCTACGAAAAAAGAGAATAAATACAGTTGTTAAATTTAGAAAAGATCTTCTAACACATGGTTTAGCCAGAATCCTTGTTTTGTCGGTCCTTGATGCCTAAAAATCGAATGCCGGCACAATATTCGTCTGTCGATATGTGAACAACGCTAGTGGCTAAACCGTTTAGTCGCTTTTCCCCCAAAATTATTCTCGAATCGACCTAGCTAGTGTCGCGGCTCATAGAATTTGAACGCGATATTTTAATTTTAAGGGGTACTTTTACATGAAGCCAGTGTAACATTTTCAAAATTTTCAAAACAATCTTGTCTTTGACTGAATTTTGTTGTTAGTGTGAAGAACGTTCAAGAGAACGGTGCAGGTTTCATGTTCGTTGAAAACTGATTTTTAGAAAATTGCAAAAGTTCAAGTTATTTAGACGTCTTCCTACAACTAAAATATTGAAGGCAGAAATTTTTCCGCTAATGAAATATGTTTCTTAAATATTGATTATGAAATAAGGTCATGTACAATGTTTTTGAACATTTGAATACTTTTCGCCTAATTTAGCGTGAAAATACGGTCGAAAAAGCACGTGATGTTTAGCGCACCAGTAGTTTTATTGGAGTCGCGAGTATCGCTGACGGATAATTTCACCACTTCTCGTGAAGAGTTTGTAAACTCTTTTGTTTGTTTGTCCGCAGGCCAAGAGGGGCCGACGGTGGTGGCGGTGAAGACCCTGAAGGAGAACGCGACGGAGAAGGAGCGCGCGGATCTGCAGCAGGAGCTACAGGTCATGAAGATGCTCGACCCGCACCCCAACGTGGTGCGCTTGCTGGGCTGCTGTACAGAGAAAGGTAAGCACACGCTCCAACGTTGCGTGCGGAAAGTGGGATCGTATCGAGGTGCTTGAAACGACATATAGCGCAATTATATACTACACTCACTTTATAAATTTATGTGAAGAACTTCATGTCTCTTGGCATACACGCCCGTCATATAGTTGTTGGTACTTAACTTCACACTGACGAATTATTTGGTGAAATAGTTAATGGCCGATAGTAAGGAAGCTGCCATCAGCCCTAATTGATTTTCTTACAGAACAGCTCATTTTGTGGACTCGCACGGTTTCAATATTTATAGCACAACTTGGTGCTAAATTAAGAGCCTAGTACTTAGCTACGCTCATAATTTATTCTTAATAAAGACACAAACCAACAAAGTGTTTGTTCCCAACGAATATCAGTGACGAGCCGTTTAAGAGGTCTAACCCATCCAAATATTTAACAAATTATGCCATCATTAAAAAAAGTGAATAATTCAAGATTGTAATTTTTCTATTTCAGAAGTAATAATTATTATTCATTCAAAATCATTTGTACTCGCATTGTGGCCTATCTAGTTCTGCAATTAAGTTCAAAGAAGCTTCCTCCGTGCGTACTCTGTAGGTGAAGGGGTAAGAGATTCTACAGGAGGTGAAATCACCATACAACCCTTCAATACAATCATTCAGTGCTTTAGAGTGGCTAACCCTGGTTACCCATGACCATTGCGGTGCGCCGGACCCCACTTTTTGAGGTTTTGGAAGGAATGATCTTCCAAAACATCTTTCAAATACATTTTATATTACAGATACTTGGATAAAAAAGCTCACACTTCGAGAAATGTTATTACTGACATTCTTCGCTAATGTCATTTTATATTTTTTGCTAATTTTATATTTATTTTCATTGTCCTTTGTAGAAAAGTCTTAAGTTGAAATCGTTGTCGTTGTCGTTTCAAGTTGAAATACTCGTGTAGAAATTAAAAAGTGCTTAGTGAAGAAATGTTTATCTACGATACACTTATTATTTATTTCTTATTATCAGAACACAAAAAGTAAATTTCCTCAAAACGAATCATTCTCTCAAAATTTCATCAGTCAAAAATGAAGTCATTTGGATGAATCAGTGACTAAATGGAACTTTTTATTTAGTGGTAATTTCAATGACAATCTTTGCATCAACTATAAGATTTACATAATTGCGTGTACTTTAAATTTCAATATTCAGCATGGATAACATACGAGTTTTTCTACTCTTATGTTTTCATTCAATTTTCTTTTACTCGGTAAGATATGCAAATTGTTTTAAAGAGCTCTCCAAGCCTAATATTGAAATTTAAAGTATACGCTGTATTGCAAGTCCTATAGTTAACGTTTGATGCAAAGATAATCACTGAAATTACCGCAAAATAAAAAGTCATTTCTTGTTGAAGATAGATTACAAGAAGAAAGTTGAAGCGTGATATAGTGGTTTCGAACGTGGGAAAATCTTCTTTAGCTCCTTCAATTTCTGTGCATTAATTTCTGAACTGTTATGTGTTTGGCACACAACAACAGCGAGTACCTTTCTTGTGAATCAGTAAGTTACTGCATTAGTATTATGCAATTCAGTAGCTTACGCATGTAAACAATCAAAAACCCAAAATATTAATAATAATAATAATAATAAAATAATAATAATAATAATTAAAGAAATTATTTTAAAAATCACAGGGATTCGAGTCGAGTAAGAAATATTCATTTTGGAAAAATGTTTTTTCGAATAATTCAGGTGCTACTGTAGCTCACAAATGAACAGACCAAAAAAGTTAAAAAAACACTTTTTTCTATATAAAGGTCTCCCAAAATGTTTATTTCCGCTGAAATGTTGAAATTGATTTTCCGGAGCGTTACATGATATTCTTTATACTACATACACTATTACTCGGTGTATATACGAGATGAGAACGTAAGAATGTGAACATTATGAACTGAAAGAACACTATGAAAAATAAATCACGTATGAATGAAAATTGTGAGACAATATCATCATATTAATTTCAAATTATTTTTTCTTAGTATTTTTTAAATTTCCGAGATGCTAGAGGTAATTTAGAAACGAGAATGGTATTTTTGTAATTGGAACTGCTTCACTATTTGTCCGCTCGGACGATTCAATTAGCTACCGACTAAATCAATACTCTTTTTATTCCTCGTGATTTTATTATCTGGGTCCCCTTTGGTGTGTTGGATAACATTAAATTGCACATTCGCTACGAGTGCTATACGTAAAAATGAGGTATTTTCACAGAGTTAAATATCAATGAGATTTGCAACGACAGGAGTTACGTCAATAACTCATGGAGAGTAGTGACTCCGCGATGATGTTTTTCATGGCCTATTTTCTACTCCATAGCCGAGTAAATGGCCCAAATGATGACAAGAACGTAATAAAATTTCTAAATTTCGAACATTACTCAATAAGTAATCAAATAAAAAACATCTTTGAAAGCTCTTAAGATTTGTCGAAGTATTTTAGCCTCATCAGTCTGATCGTCTAGAGTATTTTCGTATTCTATTATTAAACTAATTTGTTCTCTAAGGAAGCTGATATTTCAGAACAAATAATATTAAATGTGCAGACATAATATCATTCCCAAAAATTGGAATAACAAAAATATTTAAATACAGTGATGCTGAATTCCCGTTTTTTCTACTGTTTAAACATTTAAAGAAAGAAAAGAACACATTTTATTGTTTTTAATCGTTTGTTGCAGAAATGTGTTTAATTTTATTAAAATATTTTTCAATACATCACTTCGACTTAATGACATACGAGATAGAAACGGCAGCGTTACTACTGAAAAGTCACGTGACCTTAATTCTGATCACACATCTTAATTAAAAATTAATAGGCTAGGCTGCGAATGTAAGATTTAAGACAATAATAATTATCCAAAGGAATCATTAATAACTGTGCATTCACGAAGTTTGATAGCATTTTACATCTCACACGGAATGATATGAGACATGCATCATTCACAATATGCTTGGGAGGACGTGAGCCTGTCGCTTTCCCAGCGCGAATATAGGGTACCTCGATCGGCCGGGTGCGCGGCCGCCTGGAAGGGTGCACGGGCGCTCGCCGCGCTCATCATTCATCTCGGGAGATCGGCGCCTCGCGTGTGTCTGCCGCGAGAGCGCGCGGGCGGACGGGTCGTCAGGTGGGGGTGCTGTGGGCGGGGGTTTGTGTTTCCGCCGCTGGCAGCCGCGGGGGCGTTGCAGTCTGCTGCGTCCGTCACGGCGTGTGAGGCGCTTGGCGTGCGCCGCGCGAAGCCTCGGCTGAGCTACTTGAGCGCCACTTCGCGTCTTGTGGTTGTCGCACGCGAGGAGATGGCATTAGAATGGAATGGTTTGAATGATAGAAGGGTTTCCGTATCCGAAGACTTGAAATAAAAAGGCATGGAAATGTTATTTTCACATTTTCCAGAAAATTATATTATATATTCGTGTAAATTAAAATATAAAATAAATTATAACAAAATTAAATAATAGTAAATTAAAACGCACTCCAACCTGGGTGCCTTCGTTGCTTACAATATGGTTCTGTTAACACAATGTTACATATCAATAATCCATTTTTTAAAAATATGTTTATATTTAGAATAATGTATATTATACACACACTCGTTAAACGTATTAGCACATCCAACTCCTGCCATTTATAATCACCCCCTAACTATCAACAAATGCGTCTAGTCTTGGTTCTTATTTACGTTAGAGGGCCTGATTCATTAATAATTATTCTCTAAAAAACTTAAATTTAACACAAATAGCACTTACATTCTGTTTTATTTAACCTTCAAGTGTTTTCCGTGTGAATTAGTTTCCGTAATTGCAAGTCACAACGTATATTATTCATTATATCAACGGGAAGAATTGATGCGGGAGGTACTAAAAATAAATCACGAGTGTTCTATCAATTAATGGATGCGTTCTAATTGAAAATGTATAGAAGTATTTATTTATCAACCCAAAAAAGTACATTATGCCTCAAGCGGCGGCAAACCGCAGAGTCAACACAGGTTCATGAGCGTTTGCTCATGCACCCTGGGTGCAACCTGGGTGCCTTCGTCGCTTACAATACGCTTTAGTTCATTGAACAAAATTTGTTGCATATTAATAATATATATTTTAAAATATGTTTAAATTCGGAAATTGCAAACTTAAACAAAACCCGTTGATCTTCGCTGCATATCTCCTTTTACCTTTAATGCAAACCAACCACTATTTTTTTAGATCGGCATCTCCTACTGACTTATCAGAGGAATATAGAAGCCAAGTAATGTTTTAGAAGATTCGAATCATCATAATTCCATAATACCCTGACCAGTATCGTACAATGTTTACTGATTTCAGCTACAATAAATTAACATTTAATTGTCAGAAATTTAATAACCATTAGGTATTAATCATGAACCTAAAGGCTGTCTGTTAAAGGTCACAAAATTATACAATAAGTTCCATATGTTGCTTATACAACGTCAAAGTTTATTGTATCAACATCGTTCTTGTAATTACATCACAAAACATTCATTATTGACGACGTTTAGGAGGTCAATTATCTCAACCATTAGTCTAAAGACATGTATTTACACTGAAACAAAATGATTACGTAGTTACAAAATGCATAAGGTGATCTGTGTGCGATTCCATTAATAATCCAAATTAATCTAAATTATTGTTATCACATTAATACATTTTTAAAAACTTCAGTATCAAACCATTAAGTCTGCATTTACTGACAAAATGTAGGTGGGTTTGTAGTCTCTTGTACTGAGCACTATACTTGTACTTCATATATGTCTTTATAGCACAACACGACTAAGACATTAAACTTCTGGTCATTTTTCCTTTAGTGCAGCTACATTTTCTTATCAACGATATCTACTTATTGTCAACTATGACTCTTCAAGTTGATTACAAAGTACCATTGGATTTTTTATATTCATGTTAGGTTGTATTAGAAAAGCGATACAGCTCAGATGTACGTACATACGTGATAAACACGAAGAAACTTACCTAATACCGGTGTTCCACTTTTTAGAACTTTACTTTCAGTGAAAATGTATTATTCTCATGACAATTCCAATAATAATATATTATAATGAAAGTAACAAGTTCGAATAAATGTGGAAAAGACAATAATATAATTTTTAACGCTCGAGAATTTCATTCTTTATGTATCTGGCAGTTTTGTAGACTGTTTACTTCTGGCAGTATGAACAATTGCTTTTAATACTATCTGCAACATTTCACTCCTTTTGCTGAAAAAGCTCAACTACTTTTACGGTTTTCGAAGAAATTAATTTAATTAAAGCCATCGCCTTTCCTGGTTCTACATATTCCCTGTTATTTTCGGTTTCATCTTGAACCGAACGTCTATTTCTGATCTCCCGCCCTTCTCCCTCGCCTGTCAGGAACAAAACTGAAGCAGATGAATTGCTCCAAACCACAATTTCCATCCTCGAGCACACCTCACCACCCGGACCTATCAAAACGGGTGGTTTCGTGAAATTAAAGGGGATGTACTATATTTCAACGACTTATTCTGGATAATGCCTGGGCATATGAATGAGTGAACCAAAAGGCAATTTAGACTTTTTCTCTCTCCCTCCGCCTCTCTCCGTCTCTCTCCGTCTCTCCTTCCAGCGATAAATACATCAAATGATACACGTTTTCTTGAAAGAAATACGTGGGAAATACGTGTAAGGATATTTAATATAGAAAAACGTGAGTCGACAAATGGTTCAACAAACATCACAATTACAAATGCGTACAACATATCTTATATTTGTAATCAGTTCGAAAACTCCGAAGATAGCGTAGCTCGTACATTTTAAATAGTATTTTCATCTTCTCTTGAATTAGGTAAATATCTTGTGGCCAAATTGCATCCTGAATATTAAGTAATATTTTTCTGGCACCGGAAGAAGTAAGACATCCAAATAATATGCAGTTTTATAGTGCGTTGAATAATTACAGATCTTCAGTGAATGGTCAGAATTATCATAATAAAATATTTGTGATAACAAAATAATTAATAGTTATTCGTAAAATATAACTTAAAAGTTCATTCGTTAAATATTAACTAAAAGCGAATTTACGGAGCTTTTCATTTAACAAGTTTATTTATATGAAAATATAACTTATCATGACTATGATTTCTATCAAAAACTACGAGCAAAAAGGATTTTAATTGAAATTTTATTTTTTAACAGTTGGCCCAACAACGAAAGTAGTTTATAATTAGTAAATTAAAGTAGATATCCTTCGCATGTTTCATTAAAATTTGTTTTTGTACCTTCACTTTCACACACACATCAACAAATCAACAAATTATATATATACATATATATA